ATAATTATAATAATTCACTTCTTTTAATTACCATAGTCACCAAGTGCTGCGATCAGGGCTGGAAACAGCCGATGGAGCAGGGAGGGGAAATGATTTCCAGAGCTGGTCGGTGCAGGTTTTTTTAAAATCTGGATATAACTCTTTAAATTTGCAGTAGCAAGCCACTGTATTTACTCTCTTACCTTCACTGGGAGAAGTTTCTTCCCTGCACTCGTCTTAACTCTGCCACCAGTCTCTGGCCTTCACTCCCAATCAATCCCAATCAAATCTGCTCCAGGTCTGGCAGTGACGAAGAGGAAGAACGCTTCTTCACATTTCCCTCCATTAGCATGTGCTGTATTTAAATCTCTCCGTGTCCCCACTGCTCCATGTCTCTCCAAGCTTCAACACTATCCAGGGAATTATACGAGAAGGGAATTCCATACCTCTATGTTTGAAAGTGAATGAAAGCAGACATGCCCCGATTTCTGCAGGAATCTTATCACTAAGGGAAAAAAATTAATATAGTGTCACTGTTTCTCCATGAGGCGAAAGAAACCAAAGCCAAGTTTCAGAGCAGTAATTAAAATAAATCCCGTGGAGATAGTTTCCTTCTGGTAAAGAAATATTTACATCCACATATTTACATTCACTGTTTAATATGATCACGATAGTAAAAACATTTTAATTGTTGAAAAGGAAAGTGCCTCTGAGTTTTTCTTCTTATCTGTGTCGGCTTACATCTCATCCAAAGACTAATTTGAACAAAGCTCCTAAACAAACACTTTGTATTTTCATGACTGTTCCTCAACAGAAAAACAAATAGATTCTTAACTCTTTTTAAATTCAGCTTTTTCTTCCTCTGCAGTTGCAGGTTTTTGCACGTTAGCGCCACCAACTGGAAAAGCGTGAGTGCCGAAAAAATGATGATTGGATCAGTTCAACATTCAACATTTCACCATGTTCGCTGAAAGCTTTGGAATCTTCTCTTTGTCAAGATGTCGTCCTCATCGATGTCTTCTACGCTTACGTCGCCTCTTCTCGTCCTTGGGTGTAAAAAAAAAAACTTCGTAAACTTGTCCACGTGCTCGCTGTGTTCTCAAGTTGGCAGGAAAACTTCTGGAGAATATCTGAAGCTCGTTTAATTTGCGTTCTCACTCTATCATCACAGATTAATCAACGCAGAGATTGACAGAGCTGCGAAAATCCATTTTACCAGGAAACAAAACCACTCAAAAAAAAAAATCTGACACGAAAAAATTGTTTCTCATATTAAAGCTTCCTGACGTGATCGCAGGTATATATACGCCTCTGAGACCAATGTGCCAGAGCCACATGTGTGAGCCGTGTGCTCGTCTGTCGTTTAAAACTGAGATCACAGTGTCACCTGCAACTTTAACGATGCAAACTTCCCCCCCCCCCCCCCCCCCCGCCCTCACACTGATGAATCCTCGTCTCTGACACAAACCCCCTCGCCGGGAAAAGAGCGCGGCGCGAGTCGGCGCCGTGAAATCGCTCTTCTGTGCGGCGCTTCATTCATTCCTATAGAAAAAAAATAAATCATTCTCATAAAATATAATTTGGTTGCTCATCGAGATAATGAAGAAGCATCGATTTTGCTCTTCGCATTACAGTCCGACCAAGAGAGAACAAAAACCTAAAAAAAAATCAATTTCAGTGGCATTATCCCACAGTGAAGTCGGTGCCAGGCTCACCCACAAGGACAACGACAACATTGTGTGTGTGGATGTAAGCATGGTAATTGATTTCCCCTTGAGTGTGGACCTTGTAGTTGTTGGAGGATTTATGGCCGTGCATTTGTGTTTGGATGGACGCTCTTCTGTGTTTTCAGCCCCCGAAATGCAATTACTTTCATCCACAGGGGGACGTTAACCCAGCGCTCCTCTAACATGCAGACGCCGAATTAACGGCCATTCTTCTCAAACTTCTGCGTCCAAGGACAAAGCTTTCCCCCCCTGAAACGAAGACGAACCTGTGAGCCACGCTGAGACGTCCGGATCTCGGTTTTTGCGGCTGAAACGTTTTCTCAGGTGCGAGGACTCGTTCCTCCGTGTGCGTTTCAGTAATCTGAACGGGGCGACTAACTGAGGGATTAAAAATAGAACGCCATAATTAATTTATTGCTTTTAATCATTCATGGATTTACTGTAACAAGCAGAAGCACAGCATGTCTAAAGAAATGTGGCTAAATAATTAAAGTCCAGAGAAAGAAAGAAAGAATCATTCCTTCTCAGAGATGTTGAGAAAAAACAAATCCAACGGAGAGTATTTCGTCTTGGCCGCTCCGTGCCGTGTTTTACTGAGGCAGCTGCTGTACACAGTGAAGTATTATAGCTTATTGCTCCATGAACACCTGATAACTTTGCTGTTTGACTGCAGCGTCTGTGAGGCTGCGATTACACCAACAGTCTGTTTAATTTGGTCTAATCTGGATCCACACTAACTCGTTTCCAGGGCTTGTAAACTGAAAAAAAAAAAATAAAATGTTTGTTTATTGAGTGAATCTAAAAACGGAGAGAACACATGCGCTGATGCACTGAAACATTACAGCCAGATTTTACAGGCGGAGGAGAGAAAAAAAAAATGATGGAGAGTGTTTCAACCAAACAAACACAGGCCTCACTTCAGAAGATCTGCTCAAATCCATTCCGCCCATCGCCAAGGCAACGACACAAATGACTGGAACCACCGAATAACCATCAAACCTTCAGCGTGTGCGTAGAAATATCAGGAAACAGAGTAAAACAACTGCGAACCGTCGCAATTACATCGCTTGGTTCTCTTCTAATTGGACGTATACTCGGCTCCTGACGCTCAGAGTTCATTCCTCGTCCCTCGAGGCCGAAACACAAATCAAAAACCCCTGTGATAAACAAACTGTCGCTAAAGCTGCAAAACCAAGAGACAGTTTCCCACAGCGGATCTCTCCACAGCTTACTGAGGTCTCTACGTTCTGGTGGTTTCTCTGACCTCTCGTCGAGGTTTAAGGAAACAGGACGTTGTGTCCAGATTGAATTGAATATCCGTTTCGTCGCTTTGTTTTCCGTCCTCAGACTCGGTCGGTTCCTTACAATCCCCACAAATCCAGAGCACAAACTGCTCTTGCACTTAAATTGACGCTCTCTGAAAAACACCGGGTGGATTTACCATCCCTTGGTCCAACTGCCTGCCCCCCCCCAGGCTCTTCTCTGATTGCATGGAACAGTCATTCCAAGACACTTTATTTGTTTTCCATTTACAGAGCCAGAGCTTTGCGGGAGAGTTGGACTTCTTAAAGCACTCATACAGATCGGACAGCAAATGGACCGTGAGGAGATATTCACTGAATCTGACAAAAGTGCCTCAGTTTAGATTTTCCTATTCCACCTTTAATGTTGTGCCTGAAATATATATATATATATATATATATAAAAGTGTGTGTGTGTGTATATATAGTACTCTTTATATCTCTAACTCCATTGCATCAAAAAGAGAAATACTTTTACATAAAAAATGTATGCTGTGCTAAAACGTTGATATTTGCGACTGGAGTAAAGGGTAGAGAGAGAGAGATCGTGGTTATTCTTGTGAAACCGAACATTAATTGGTCAGAGATGGGCGACAAACTCTGCCGGAAAAAAATCATTAAGCTCCACACATTTATTACCCAGCACCCTCCACTTCGAGCCTCCCTCATAAAGGGCACACTATTCCTGCGCTGCTGCTGAACGTTGTCACTGGACGTAAATCACCGGCGGAAAAATCCGGTTCGAACTCATTCTGAGGGGAAATTGGACCGATGCTTCGAAACAAGCGCTCCTTCAAAAATCTGCATAGACGCCACATTTCAGCTTGATGAGTGTTTTGATGGCCTCTTCTGGAGCCGCACAGACACGCATATATAAAGTTTATACACCGAGCTATGTTTAGACTTTATTCTTCCTATAACTAAAACCTGTTGTGGTGTCATCGCACCGCTGCACAGGAAATACATCACGGCATGTTTGTCTGCCAGCAACGAGTCTTCAGTTTTGACAGATCTAACCCGGTTTCACGTCAGAGTCCAGTCTCGCCGTTTCTGTAATTCCGCCATTGTTCATTTCCACTTTTAGGGCCGATGCAGAAATGCTGCGATGAACGAAACGCGTGATGCAACTCTGAAGGAGAAACAAGAAAGAAAGAAGTGATTCAGAGGCTCGGTCCCGCTCCGCGGCAACAAATAGCGATATTCCCTCGGACAGCGCTCGGCGACAATGGTCACATCAAATAGAAAACTGTGGTGTGCACTGGTGGTGATTTCACAATGACACGCCGTTTTGTTCTGCATTCACTCCGAAAGAAACAACACACAGAAGAAAAGAAGGAATACTGCTTTGAACAGAGTATTTCATGCATGAAATACGAGTCCTTACGCTGCGAGAGTCCTTTTAACGTTCACAAAAAAAGATTTTTTCATTCTTCTTTAAAGCAAAAAAAGAAAATGACAGCTTGTTCTGCAGCAGCTCCTGTTGATATACCTTTCTGTACATGCTCGGTGCTGGGGACTACATTCTGGTTTTATCAGAGGATAATGTGCTGAAAGCGCAATCTGATTCCAAAGCAAATCTAAAGCTTTCAACGAGCAAAGGCTCCATTCTTCAATTGCCATCTTACATCAGCGCTCAATCACACAGGGAGAAACCCACAGTCAAAGCGGCAGAGTTGCCAATCTCTCCGGCTGCAGCCGCCTTAATAGACAAGAATGTACAGACGCCACAGGCCGACTGTTTGTGAATTTTTCATCAATAGAGGCACCGACCCCGTCTTTGAAACTTTCTCTGTAATTCGAAACACGGCGCGGCGAGCCACGGGACCGCGTGCTGTCCACTTTCACGTTCTATTGATAAAAAAAAACAAACAAACAACGCGCTCGGCTCTCGATGCACAACACACACGCCGGAGATTAAAAGAAATTCTCTGAGGAAAACAGGGAAAAGCATGAAGAGGCGTTTGACGTAATAAACTGGATGCACACGGTGGATTCCGTGTTTTACACTTTGCGTCATGTGTGTCACTGTTTAATGTTATTATTGGACTGTGCATCAACATGTAGAAAAAGAAATATAATAATATAAAGATTAAGATTCTTCTGCTACTTTTCATTCGAGATTTTCGTGTTTGCATTCAAGATGCTTTGTTTGGTCGATGAATTAAAAACCTTATTCCGATCCACGCATCTGGAGAACTGTTCTTCTTCTGGGCTTCACACTTGGTGTGAATTGTTCGGCGCAGTGTTGAATTTGAACAGTTTAAATATTAATACAGTTTGAGGCTCTGCAGCAGCGGCGCTGGTCAAGGCAACGTCAGCTGATTCTCCGCCCTCTCGGTTCTACGCTCGTGCATCTTCCCCGAACGATCTATTCTGCAAAAATAAAGGTTTTCATCTCAGCACTGCTCGTAGAGATACGTGTGAGCACATGAGTCAGTCGGGCTCTAAAGGAGCTCTCACTCCTCCACATTTAGATTTCACCTTTAGTTTCGTTCGGTCTGGTTTCCCGGTGCCGTCACACTCTCAGATCTGCTCTTGTACGCAGACGGCTGCTTTTCATGTGGGTCAGATGAAATATTGAACGTTGTTTCGCCCGTGCTCGCCAACTTCGGGGGCGCCGCCAGTGAGGCGCACGTACGCCGCCGTGTATTCTGATGAAAGAGGAGGATAAACGGTGAGAGCAGGGAGGACAAAACAGAGTTAAATTGTTAATATCATAACACGGAGAGAGAAGACCAGCCCTCTCCCATCATGCAGTTTGTTTGGGTTTTATGCAAAAACGCCAGAGAGCTCGAGCACTGCACAGTCATGAAGCCCCCCCCCCCCCTCCTCGTCAAATGAAGATTCATCGTGTGGCTCGGTGATATCCTGGGACATAAATCATTGGTGCGGGGCAGACAGTTGTGGCAAGTCATTTCCTGCCGACAACAGCCAGGTTTTTTTCTCCTTCCATTCTATGTGGTTATATCAACCATCCCTCCATCCCTCCATCCCTCCACCCGCCTGTCACCGGGCGGAGATACACACACACGGCAACGCTCAAACCCATTTTCTCAATAGTATCTATTATAAATTGGTTATCGCCAAGAACCAGCTTCCACCAAAAACAAATAACTGATCAATTTATAATATAAATAAATGTCTTTTGTCGGGTTCACATCCGTTACAATGGAGTCGAGTCCAGATTCACGGTTCTCCTTCCAATCATTTTTTAATTTGCTGAGATTTATTTTTTTTAAAAACCATTCATGAAAGCAAAAGGAGAAAAATGTTGAAAATCAAGTTGTTGAAAGCTGCATCGACAAACTTTCCAACAAAATCTTTCACTGTTTAAACTTCATACATCTCACGGACACTTTTCAGTCCCGAACACGATGCCAGTGATTCAGCTCATCCAAAAGACACGAGGAAGAAATTTCAAACGGTGGTGAAACTTTTCTGAGGAGAGACTTTGTGCGTCGGTAAGTGGACGCGTTGCTGAACGATACTTTGAAAATGTCTCTTATCGAACAGACAACTAGTTCGTTTTTGTTTGAATCGATTTTAATTCACCTGGTTTTTCAGAAGCTTTCTTTCGTTTCATATTTTAGATTTTGCCGACAGCTCTGACTGTCACATATTGAGACTGTGTGATTGTCTCTAGTCCCCCCGCCCCCCCGACACACAAAAGGGGATGTAGGCTTAAATAATAATTAAGGAAGCCTTCTGGAAATTCTCCGCCTTCCTCCCTGGAGACAGTGACTCAGTTCAGTCAGCTGGAATCTGAATATGAAGAGAGCCCAATGAAAAATGGATCCAAGTTGATATTGAATTTGTTTAGACGCACAAATGAGTGGTTGAAGTTCAGGGAGTTATTGTGTCTTGGTTTAAAACGATCACTTCATTCAGGTTATGTAATCCTGGTTTGTGTCACAGCAGCGACCGGGATTCAGATAAATAAATAAAGGAAGGTCAGTTGGAAATGGAAAATTGAACAGTGGCGTCTCGGGTTAAACTCTGATGTCACGTTGACATTGATCCATGGATCCACTCACTCCTGGAACACGTGTAAACACACCGGTTGCCCTTTTCGCAGCTCCTATTAAAACAATGTTTGCTGTCGTTCAGAGGACAGTGGGTGAAACGTGAACAGTTCATACTGCAGAGACGTGCGAGAGGTGGAGGAGGCTGTGAACTGTCCCTGCAGTCACAGACAAATGGCTCCACTCCATCACTGCCCCCGAGCATCACAGATGCTCAAATGTCAATCTTTATGGCCTCCGTGGCTGGAAAAGAAAAAAAAAAAGCAAATGTCATCTCNAAAAAAAAAAAAAAAAAAAAAAAAGGGGGCCCTACATTACATGGGATTAATTACGTAGGAAATCTTAATGACCCAAGTCTTAAGCAAATATTGCCCGAACCCAGACTAATTAAAATGTTTCAGTGAGGAGCTGAATGAGGTCATATCTCATGTTCATCCAGATTTCACATCCTGATTGCTCTTCTGTAATTAGCTGAAGAACAGCTTCACTCAGTTTGTTCAGATTTGTTCCAACTGCTAATAACTGTTACCCTCACGTCGCCATTTATATATATATAACAATACACAAGCACACACACACACACATACACATGCACACATGAAAACACACACACACACATGAAAACACAAATATATACACATATTTACGTAACATATAAACATTGATATATATAAATGTAATCATATACACACATTTAAATGCACATACATGTATTTTTGTGTATATATATTTAAATATGTAGGTATGTATGTGTACCCACCCACACACACCCACACCCACACACACAGTACCTCTAATCCCACTTTATCTTCTCCGCCTGCACCAACACATCTGTCCTGACAAGCAGGTGATAGTTTGATTCAAGAGAGAGGATAATTGATTTCAGGAGAGCGAATGAGGAACGTCAATGAACTAATCTGCTCCTTCTACAGTCCATTAACAAATTGCCCACCCATGCTAATAACAATCATCCCTGAAGACGCGTAGGACCAGCAGCAAAAGTTATGAGTTCAACTTCACAAACACGGAGAAGAGAAGTTAAAAAATAATCAGAATTATCATGTTAATGTCTGAATCTGCTGTTAACAAACAGTCGGGAAAGCTCCATCGTCTGATAACGTTCACAGAGAAATGAGGAAACTTACAGCCGGTTCACTGCAGGTGTCATTTTAATTTCTGCAGGGGGATTTAACAGAAACCTTTCACATGGGCTCTTCTAGATTATAGAGCATTATTTGTGCTTTGGACGCCTTCCAGAACGTGGGAAGTGAGAATTAGAGAAGGCAGACAGAATGACAGCGTGGTTGATGTTATCTCAGGCAGGGAATAAATACACAGCAGCACAGAGGATAAGACCTTCACAGCTCTGTTCAGACACAGACTGCTTCCTGCCTACATTTTTATTGATCCTTTCTTTTAGCACAGAGGTCACATCCTTGCTGCCTTGTTACTTTACATAAGGCCTGGAGCTGCCATTTAGCACAGATCTGTTCTTTCTATTTCCGATTTTTTTTTTTTCTGGAAATGTGACGACCTGAAGTAGAATTTTCAGTTTTCCTGTGTTTTATTTTTAAAGGCAGACACCAACCTTATTTTTAAGCCTGTTAATTATAAGAAATACACTGAAATGCCCAGAAACTACAGAAGCTTAATGCAGAAAAATACTGGTGATGGCTCAGGATCTTTCAGGATATTTCTCTAATTTCAGAGTTATGTTTTAGTTGAACTGTATTTTCAGATTTGTATTAATGGGTGTTTTTAATTTAGTAGAAGAGAGTTGCTGTTATGTAGCGTGACTAGGTTTTGTTTTCTAATTATAGCCTGAGAGCTAATGGCAAATAAAACATCAATACAGAGTGTGAAAGTTCAATTTGTGACCCGATTGATTTTTCATATTCCAGATCGGCAGGCCGTGACTCCGCCCGACGTAGAAACCCAAGCACAGCACGACTCGTTATTTTGATGCGTTTACATTGTTTACGTTTGGATCCATTTTCACACCAAATACATTTAGCGATTGTTCTTTGATTAAATCCACAATACGAGGGGAAGAGCGGCGGCTGAATCGATGCACGCGTGAGATGAGGTGTGCGGCAAAAACTGACTCGGGGATCTTCAGGGTGTTCGAGCCCCTGCGGTGGAGGGAGTGTTTCCTTAAGTGTCAAAAAGCCTCTTTGTATGATTTCCTGTAATATTTTCAGAGTGTTTCTTGCGCTGACAGCAGGTGGGAGTCCACTGCAGAACAAAGCTCTTGACCAGCCAGTGGGTGTCCAGCATGCCTGAATACACGCTGCAGAAAAGCTGCGGTCGAGTTTTCAATCATTTCCACCTCGTCCTTCAGAGCAGAAAGTGGTTGTCAAGGGGACAGAAGACAAAGAGGAGGATTAAAGAGGCAGAAGAGGCAGAAATAGATTCTGTGTGCGATGAGAGCAGGGCTCTACAATTCATACAAGTTATAAAGCATGCATTGAATTCAGCTGTAAGAGCTCTACAAGAGTACACACAATAAGAAATACTCTAAAAGGACAAACAGGAAATGAACTTGACTGAACGTCCACCTTTTAGCCGCCGCTGACCAAAGACGGTTGATCATTTTAAATAGTTCTTGTCACATCCGTGTTTGTCCAAGTGCTGTTTTCGTGTAAACTCTTTAATTAATAGACACTTTCCAAGCGTAAGGAGCGAATTTGTGTTCTTGAGTTCAGAAGCAAAGGTTATAAAACAACATTCACACTTTGCCTCTGACAGGGAGGAGAAATATATCCAGCAGATCGGTGGACATGATCGTAGAGTTCATGGCAGGATATAAAAAAAAGAATCTAGGAAGTAAATCTATGAATACAAACTGGTCCATGTCCAAAGATTTGTCAGAACCTTACAGTCTGGTACAAGAGAAAAAAGAAATCAATCGTTAGAGAGTTCTACGACTAGACGCCGGCAAAGTTTGGCCAAAGATGCTCTGACGTGTTTGAGTTTTGAATCAAATCTGCTCCGAGTTCTTCTGGAGTGAATGAATAATGTATAATAACAGTCGAGTCTGCTTGAAATGAAGACATGGGTTTGCTTCTCTGCATCACACAGGTCAGAATGAAGCGACCCTCTGCACTTCTTCTCAAATGAAATGATGTTGTGACAGTTTGTGTGGATTTGAACCTAAAATGACCCTAAAACTCTTCAGACATTCTCAGAGAAGCAAAAGCCATTTCCTTTTTCCTTTTTATTTATCTTTCAATATCCCCAGAACAGTAATTACACTAAATGTGTTCCCAGCATCAATAATAATTTGTCAAACAAGAATTCCCAGAATGAGACTAGCTTGTGTTTTGTTAGTAGGAATAAATCAGCTGGAGTTTTTGTCTGAGGCAGTTTAGAAAATGTGTTGCAGGTCAGAGTTTCCTGAAGTAAAAGCTCAAAATAGCTTCACTGTCTTGTTACAACAGTCTGTGTTTTGAACTGTGGGAGGATGGATGGTTTCATGAGGAGGGACTCACATGCACTAACATCAACACACAGAGGGAGTGTCTATATCTGTACATAGAAAACAGTTCACGTGGAAAAACCTTGCAAACCTTTAAACAGGGGAACAAAACAAACAACTGAACGACCTGAATGAAAACAGGGTTCAATGC